CCAGCTAAATGACGGGGGTCTGTAAATAATCGGGTCTGGACTAGACAATCCAGTGATTGACATCATGAACATCGATTCACGCAATTGGGATACGATGACAGGCATCAACCAAGTCAGCGAGACTGACAACCTGATCCCGTTAGTCGCCTTTTACGACAAGCATGGGTTGCTGGAGACCTATTCTACCCCGGATCTTCACGGGTCCATGTAATACATAGGGGTCTGGATGTATCCTTTGGGTATTCCCTCTGTCGCTGAATACTAGAACGTGTAGCTTGCTTTTCTCGTCACAGACCGACCTAAGATGGGCCAGACCCTAAAGTTATGTTCATATTTTTATGCTCAGTTTTATAAAGTTAATTTCGTTTCCGAAGTGGCAGTGTCTGGTGGATAGCAATGGCGTTCGTGATTAATTGCTAAACATACTCTCTACATCTTTACGTCATTGCTTTCATTTACTGGTTAAAATTTGGAATGCAAGATTTGGAAAATCGAAAACAAAATATAATTAGTCTTACTTGCCCAAAGTTTTACAAATATAAGCTAAAGGTATCTATGATTATATATATAAGTATTGAGAAATCAAAACTTATAATAATAATAATGATAATATAGACTGTATGGTTTTATAAACAGGTCCATTTACCCACATACCACTTGTCAAGCAAGACACCCAAAGGTTGCTTCATGCCATTTTACTGCGCGCCGCGATTCGCTGTGCAGAGTTGCGTCCCTTGGGCTCGCCAGAAACCAATGGTTGTGGGTCATTCGTCACCACTCGCCCCTTTCCGTAACCTGCAAGAAGACTCGTCCCCCTATCGATGAATGTTATGTGCGAAAATACGACAAACCAATCAGAATGCGCGCATGATTTCAAATTCTTCGTCAAAGAATCCCTCAGAAATAATTTTTGATTTTACATATGTCTTGCATCTAAAAATATACCAAAGACACAGTTAAATGTGTTCAATTATACTGTATAATTCCGCACGTCCCGATATGCTTTTAATTGCATCTGAAATATATATAATATATTGGGAAAATGTGTGAACGATTACGCAACGAGTTGACAATTGTTTTAGGTATGCCCGTTTGCGCTAAGACGGAACCCGGCCGCAAAAATGGCCACGAGACGGGCACGAGTCGCTATTCGGCTTGTCCCGGAATAACACAAGTTGGTCACGTATTGGTTGTGGGTTCGAATCCCGGTTCGCCCCAATTATGTTTCTAGGTTTGTCAGCACCTACCCGTGCTCTTGGGTTTCACCGAAGTGGTAAACGTCTGAGACCTGCATCACTTCGGGCTTTCCTCCCACATTAAGCTGACACGCCATGATATAACTGGAATACTGTTAAAAGCGGCGTTAAACCCAACTCACTCGCCCATCATTTTAAAACTAGTGGGATCCAAAATAAGTCACACCTAAACTTTTCTTTTCCTTTCAAAATGTTTTAATCTCTAATGGAGAATATAAACAGTTATATATTTTACTGGCAACCTCTGCACGTTAGTCTGGCTCACAGTCCCTGAACCATATTATTTTCTTTTCCGCCCAGCCCTTACTGCAATGCTGGAGCCTTCAATTGTCCACATGTTAACACTCTCCCATCTCACTGGGGCCCCGTTTTAATATATAAATGGAGTTGTTTGTTTCCATCAGAAGTGTATATTTTCAGAGACTATGCGTAAGTCTATGTGTATATCTACGAGGCAACTCAATGGATTGGACGCTGGGGCTCGGTGATTTTGTTGATTGGGTGTCATTGTACCGGCGGTGTTTACAGGCTCAATTATTTAAAGGGGCCGTCAACACGCCCGAATATACAGAGTGTGGCTATGAAAACAAACAGACACAAGAAAAAATATCTGTCTGCAGAGACCAATATTATTGAACATTCGAACACTTTTACTGCAACTGGTTGTATATCTGTTGATTGACCTTTAAATAATATGAACGTACACAAAAACCAGCAGTGATGTTAGAACACCGCGGAGACAGGATAAGAATGATGCTATTTAGGATGGCTTTCTCAAGTTAATGGCTAGACACATAGACATTTGACATTTTACATGAACATATGACACATACTTCGCTGCGACTTCAAGATGCGAGACAGCTCAGATACATTCTATTTAGAAAAATGAAACTAAAAATAAACGTAAATATAAGCGACAACCCCTTTTCCACTTTCATAAGAAATCTCTGCTGACAGCAGAGTCGATTTCTGATTCCGACTATATCATAAGCATGTGTTTATGAATCACTATCAAATAGTGATAATACCAGATGTTTGCGAATAGGTGAGCGTGTCTTGCCCAATCGGTGGCACCCATTGCAAACACACCTGAGAGAAAAAGAGATCACCTGAAAATGTACCACAGTAACATAATTATCTTTACGTCATTATTTTTATTTATTGGATTAAATTTGGAATGCTTGATTTGGAAAATCGAAAACAAAATTTTATTAGACTTTTTGCCTAAAGTTTTACAAATATAAGCGAAAGGGAGCTATGATTATATATAAGTATTGATAAAACTGATAATAATGATAGTGTTTGTTTGTTTGTTTGTTTGTTTGTTTAACGCCGCACTCAGCTATATGACGGCGGTCTGTAAATAATCGAGTCTGGACCAGACAATCCAGTGATTGACATCAGTAGCATCGATCCACGCAATTGGGATCAATGACATGCATCAACCAAGTCAGCGAGCCTGACCACTCGATCCCGTTAGTCGCCTCTTACAACAAGCATAGCCGCCTTTTATGGCAAGCAAGGGTTGCTGAAGACCTATTGTACCCGGATATTCACGAAATACCGACGTAAATGATGATCAGTGACATCAATGTGGTTGACTTGGTTGACTGTGTGTCAGTTTACCCGGGCGATTATTCATTTTGAATAGAACTGGCTGTGGCATTAAACAGCATTCTCTCACTCTCTCACTCACAAACCAGTATATTTAACGCTGGAAAGTCAGCGGCTGCGTCGATATAAATGGCAGGCTGTGAAGCATTACCGAATGTATATGAGTGGTGCAGAAAAAAATGTCACTCAAGTCTTATCATAAGCGAAATCCTACCCGTAACCATGACTGTCAAGTTTTCTCGGAGACTATTTACTTGTATATGTCCCTAAAACTCCTTTATGTCCCGATGATGGCGACGGCAGGGGGTCTGCAGGAACGTGAAGGAGGGGATTAGGCAATGTGTTTCACCCATTCACGGCTTAGAACTCGACAAAATCGCCACCGAAGTACAAGTCCACCAAATCTGAACTTTGACACCTTGCATCGCTTCACCATCCACGTCAACCTTTGAAGTTGGCCGCCATCTTGTATCTCCGAGTTGGAGTGGGTGTCGTGATGGATTAACTTAATCCCCGCCCGCTGTGATTATCTCATGGCACGATGGGTCGGGGATTAGATAATCCCAAATATGTCTTTTTAAAAGTCGCTTTTTGGATATGTTTCCACAACAATCCGCTCTTTGCGTTTTTACTGTGTTCGTAAGGAGAATAAATAGATTAACATGCATCTTATCTGCTGTAACGCTCACTGAAATGGTTTGAAGTTTTCTGTTCACATTTATCATATTTCTGTCGAAGTCACACGGGCGGTTTGTAAGTGTGTGTAAGTTATCCAAATCCTTCAGCGTGAAATAGCTTTGACAAGTTATCCAGAGAAAAAACCCACCTTTTTCCCCCTTTTCTTATAAAATGAACGAAAGCGATATGTTTGGTTAAGAATATAATCCGCCATAATATCCTACAGCTTTTCAATAATTACCAAGGGTATAAAAAATGTATATGCATTTCAAAGCGATTCGTGTTCCATGTAAGACCCAGGTTCGATTCCCCACATTGGTATAATGGGTGAAGCTCATTTCCGATGCCCCCTGCCGTGATATATATTGCTAAAAGCGGCGTAAAATCAAACTCACTCATTCCGAGTTGGACGTAACGTCAGTAATTCTGCAGTCACATATATAGTGACCAGGGAGCCTTCTCACAAAGCGATGTTAGAGCTTAGAAGATTTACTACAGTCCTAGCGCTAAGATTCTCGTGGAACGAGGCCCATGTTTTAACAGTAATAACGGTCCGACAAAGTAAAGGTAGTCATCGAGTCATAATAAAAGACTGGAAGACATAAGTAGGTGAGTTGGGTTTAAAGCCGCTTTGAATAACATTTCAGTAATATAACGGCGTGTCAATTTAATGTGGGAGGAAAGCCCGAAGTGATGCAGGCCTCAGACGTTTACCACTTCGGTGAAACCCACCAGCAAGGGTATTGTGCGGACAAACCTAGAAACGTAATATTGTCGAACCGAGATTCGAACCCACAATCATAGGTTTCTGGCGTGCCCTAGGGACGTCTTTCGCAAAGGCTTAACTGTGAATTTGTTTGTATGCCCTGTGTTTTTATTAAACAAGACTACGGGCACGCCGGTAACCTTTAGATGATTGTGGCAAGCCTCGGAGTTTTTCTGCTTTTTTCAACTTGTGTTGATATATTTTATATCAAAAGAGTGAGTGAGTGAGTGAGTTTGGTTTAACGCCGCTTTTAACATTATTCCAGTTATATCACGGCGTGTCAGCTTAATGTGGGAGGAAAGCCCGAAGTGATGCAGGTCTCGGACGTTTACCACTTCGGTGAAACCCACGAGCACGGGTATGGTGCTGACAAACCTAGAAACATAATCAGGGCGAACCGGGATTCGAACCCACGATCATAGGTTTCTGGCGTGCCCAAGGGACGCAACTCTGCACAGCGAATCGCGGCGCCTTAGACGACTGGGCCACCCGTGCCCCCGATATCAAAAGACACTTGGGTGAGATTCTCTATTAAACAACAAACAAACAAACAGTTAACAGTGAACCTTTAACAGTTCACACACAACAACCCAGACCAGTGCAGACCTTTTAAACAGCACACACCTCGCACCGCCTCATCAAATCATCAGCTTGCACAGTGGATGGGAAATAAATAATACCAGACGGTTGTTATCTGACATTTATCAACAGGTGGTCAAATTGAATTGAGTAAACGCATCCTCATTTTCCGAGGTCATATCAGATGACCTTTGGCGACATCCGCCATTAGAGGGGATCTGCCACCACGATAATGTCTGTTTCATGGGGCTTGTGTCCTCGAAGTCGCCGTCTGGATGCTTTGAGGTAATTTGTTCCAGTTCGAGTAAATTGTGATTGCCTGAATTTGTAGCTGTAGGTCGGGGCGGTATAGGAAGGGCGAGTTCGTGCGTCATGAAGTACAGTTCCGATCCACGACATCTGGGTTGGAGTCGCCAAGTGCTTTCTTCACTAACCCCTGCAATATCACTTTTGCCCTTGAAAAAACAAATTCCGCGATGATATTTCATAAAGATACATTTTGATTTCCCCAACCACCCCACCCCTAGCCACATTGTAGATCCCTTGGGAGTCGATTCAGTTGATGTCAATGAATATGCATTTTAAGTATTTTAGTCTGGGGATGAGTTATTAAGCTTCTGAAATGAAATCGGGATTTTTTGCATGGGTTAAGCTTAAATAGAAGCCCAAATGTTTGTCTTTAATTTCAGAAACTGACACTGGAGTTTTCGGAATTGTTGTTCAGTTTGTTTGTTTGTTTAACGCCACACTTAGCAATATTCCAGCTATATGACGACAGTCTGTAAATAATCGAACCTGGACCAGACAATCCAGTGATTGACATCACGAGCAACAAAAAACACAATTGGGATGCGATGACATGCGTCAACCTAGTTTCCAAGCCAGATCACCGATCCATTAAGTCGCCTCTTACGATAGTTACAGCTTACTGGGGACCTTAGTATATCCTCACAGTCATGCTTGTTCAGGGGGTGTATGGGAGACTGTCTGTAGTAAAGACACAGGATAAGGCACAGGAACAGGCATTGGCACAGGAACATTTATAAAACAGACATCCGTTATTCATGCAGGAAAGTGCCGTGTGTCTGTCTCTGGTTAGTGATGGTTTCAAACAGACATCATCAGCAAACTCACGGGAACTCAATCATTATGGGCAGATGTAACAGTAATACCTTGGCCACCTTCCCATGCCAGTACATTACTGGTTGGCTGCTGTCGATGTTACGATTAAAACACTGAAATAACTTCATATAGTCATTTCCAGGAATCTCTGCGGTGATCCCGGGTTAGAATTGATCCCCCGCAACCCACTTGCACAAAGCGATCTTAGCGCTAAGATGATCGTAACTCTCATACTTTAACATAGGCTTATGATAGTCTTAGAGCTAAGATCGCTTTGTGCAAGTGGGCTGGCGACAAACTGGACCAGGTGGTCAGGGTTGTTGTGACTTGTTTAGAGAGCGTTGCTTGCGATATCGATCACTGGATTGTCTGGTCCAAACTAGATTATGTACAGGCAGCCATCATAAAGCTACAGCGGCTGAGTGCGGCGTAAAAAAAGCAAACAAATATTTCAAGTGAACATCAGTCGATGGCCTAGGGAAAGTGACTGAAGAGACAGTAAAATCTACTTCTCGTCTTGCGAATGTATTTCTGGTTTAGCGTCGATAATAAAAATATGTGGTCAGTAGTGGGTATTGAGCCCCGTATCCAGCTTATGATTTTCTAATAATAATAGACGGCTGTTCACTGGTTTACAGTACTCTCCCGGCAATCATTTTACACACAGGACGCACGCACCCCCACACGCGCACACAATGTGTGCGCAATGTACTCGTATAATGTTTAGTGTGCGTGCGTGAGTGTGTGTGTGTGCATGCGTGCGTGCGTGTGCGAAAGAGCTGTTCACTGTAAAACTAATTCAGATTTCATACATCTCAAAGTAATGTTTACAATGTTTACAAAGTTTACTTTAGCGAGGTGTTATATTTGTCAAATAATCAGTGATAAAATTATTCTCACTCACCTTTGTTCCCAATTCCATATTGGCTTCCATAATCTGTACATTCGTGACTCCTCGTGTCGTTCCGTAGTCTGTTATACAGACCCTGAAACAAATATATCAGATACAGCCCATGCAAGTCTATAATATTTGGCAAGTCTAGAATACTGCAGTATCTGAAAATGAACAAAGCCTTGGCTCCTTTTTATTATATTATATACGATGATTTAACAACTGTTTTTGTCTGTAAAATATTTTCATTTCTGAGACTAGATGTAAGTCTAGTCGTTCCGGCACAAGCCTTAGTGTTGAAGTTTCATGTTCAGACCATAGCCCTTTAACAATCTTTTTTGTTCTGGGCTCCATTTGGATTTTTTTATTTTGTTTTGTTTGTTTGTTTGTGGTTTAATGCCGCACTCTGCAATATTCCAGCTGTATGACGGCGGTCTGTAAATAATCGAGGCATCATGAGCATCGATCCACGCAATTGGGATTGATAACGTGCATCATCCAAGACAGCGAGCCTGACCACCCGATCCCGTTAGTCCAGATATATATTTTTAAATAAGATACATTTATTTCTGGGACTAAGTGTTAGTCTGCTTGGACCCCGATTGGTTCCGGAAAGATGCGAACTGTGACGAATGGTGAAATGAATACAATGTCAGTCACACCACGCATGGAGAAGTTGTTCATCTCACGTTTAGAGAACAGGACACCTGTATGCCCAGGCCTAGTGACGACTCAAGTGGAGCATCCATTTCAGATATATGTAATCCTGTCAACAGATCTTGACTCGCCCCCCGGGAGATGTATGAGACTGGATGTCTTATCACGTCGATAGGAACATATGTTCACAAATAATCTGTCTCGCTACACACTAACCAGCGATTATATTGCCATTGAGATTACAGCATTACATCGCCTGGATATAAATGGTTTACATAATAAATAGAAATGGATTACACTTCCTTGGCACTTGTGTGAAACGCCCTTTTTTGACGATATATTAAACAAACTCCGCTCCGGTGCGTTTGCTGTTTTCCTGGGGGCGATCTCAAACGATGAATCGATTTACTTTGATAGTCAATCGTAATGAGTGAATGAGTGAACTTTGTACAGTATTTCTGTTATGTATCGGTGGGTCGCCTTGATGTTGAAGGAAAGCCCCAAGTGATGTTGATGTTTAACACATGAGCATCTATCCACACAATTGAGATACGATGACATGCATCAACCAAGTCAGCGAGTCTGACCACCCGATCCCGTTAGTCGCCTCTTAGAACAAGCATAGTCACCTTTTACGGCAAGCATGGCTTGCTGAAGACCCACCATTAATACTTTTCATTCAGAATTCAATATGCAAGATAGCAGAAACGATAAAAAGTGATGATGAAAACTATGCACAAAGATAAATTCAAAATGTACAACGGATTATAGACTGATTAATAATTGGTTTCCATTCTCATAACTAACTCACCTGTCAGACATCTGACATGTTATATACCGACTTTGTTCTCAATGATACGCCCCCTCTTACCAAATACGCGCCACATACACTAATACGGATGGTTCATATACAGATGGCTGTGGTTTACTGTTGCATGTCATCGAGGGGCCATCGCATAAGTACAAGGCAGGAATATTAAATGATTATTCGTGTTTGTCAGCCAGATATTTCAAACTGACAACCTGATATGCGTACTCGAGGAAGTTAAATCTCTCGCTAAACTCCTCTCGGGTCTCTGTATTCAAAGATAACCCCCCAAACACGTGGATGTATTACTGGGGGAAGTGCGTTGTCTCATAGATAAAACACGTAAACATAATTGAAATCGTTAACACAAAAAATGTACGGATGTACAAGAGGCTTCGACCCATGAAGATCCGGGTTAGTTGATTGATTTTCAGCCACCCGTACTTGTCGTGAGAGGCATCTGGTGGGATCGGGTGGTTGGGCTTGGTTGATTTACATCCAATCTTATCCCAATTGAGTAGATTAATGCTCATGATGTCAATCACTGGATTGTCTGGTCCAGATTGTATTTACAGACCGCCGTAATATAGCTGGAATATATTTTTCAATTCAATTAATTGTTTTTCTCTATAAAGCACCCACGGAGGTACAAGTGCTAACAAGATTATTCATATTATACATATATGTACAGTAAACTACGGTTATAACGAACTCATAGGGACTACTAATTTTAGTTCGTTATAACCGTAGTTCGTTATAAGCATATATACAGCATAACTACAGCAAATAGTCTGGACTAAAAAAGTAAGTTCGTTATATCCGTCAGTTCGTTGTAAGCGTGTTCGTTATAACCGTGGTTTACTGTACAACAAGATGGTGCTTACGCAGCTATTGCTTAATAGATTGCATAATAATCGTGGCACATTTTGCTAAAGGTTTAAGATCCTTTAAGAAGTTAAAACAGTTTAAGACCGTGGATATTGGACCGCGTTAGATAGTTTGTTGGACTACATAACGTGAAAAGGCCTGGCAACGGAAGATGTAGTGAAATTGCTGAGTGCGGCGTCAAACACATAACAAACAAACAAAACAAGAGGTTTCAGTGGTTCACTGGTCAGTTTAGCGCAAATAAATGTTGTATTTTTTTCTGTTGACACAGTTTCGTACTGTCAGTCCTCGTCTTCCTATTGGAGTCCGGCGATGGAACAATACTCCCCCAATAGAAAGAACATTAATTTTAACCTTAACCAGTATTTGACACATTAACTATAGTCAGTCTATTTGTATAATTGCTGAGTGGGCAAGTTAGCGAGCGTCGGGTTAAATTGCGCCTGGGACAGCGGGCAACGAGGAGTTTGGGAGGGTGGGGTTGAGTTGCAGCTGGGTGAGCGGGCTATGTGGAGCTGAGGCGGGTGGGGTTGAGTTGCAGCTGGGAGAGTGGGCAATGTGGAGTTAGGGAGGGTGGGGTTGAGATGCAGCTGGGTGAGCGGGCTATGTGGAGTTAGGGAGGGTGGGGTTGAGATGCAGCTGGGTGAGCGGGCTATGTGGAGCTGAGGAGGGTGGGGTTGAGTTGCAGCTGGGAGAATGGGTAATGTGGAGTTAGCGAGGGTCGGGTTAATTTGCGCCTGGGACAGCGGGGAATGTGGAGTTAGGGAGGGTGGGGTTGAGTTGCAGCTGGGACAGCAGGCTATGTGGAGCTGGGAGGGTGGGGTTGAGTTGCAGCTGGGAGAGTGGGCAATGTGGACTTTGGGAGGGTGGGGTTGAGATGCAGCTGGGAGAGTGGGCTACGTGGAGTTAGCGAGGGTGAGGTTAAGTTGCAGCTGGGAGAGCGGGCTATGTGGAGCTGAGGAGGGTGGGGTTGAGTTGCAGCTGGGTGAGCGGGCTATGTGGAGCTGAGGAGGGTGGGGTTAAGTTGCAGCTGGGAGAGTGGGTAATGTGGAGTTAGCGAGGGTGGGGTTGAGTTGCAGCTGGGTGAGCGGGCTATGTGGAGCTGAGGAGGGTGGGGTTGAGTTGCAGCTGGGTGAGCGGACAATGTGGAGTTTGGGAGGGTGGGGTTGAGATGCAGCTGGGAGAGCGGGCAATGTGGACTTTGGGAGGGTTGGGTTGAGTGCAGCTGGGAGAGTGGGCAATGTGGAGCTGAGGAGGGTGGGGTTGAGTTGCAGCTGGGAGAGTGGGCAATGTGGAGTTAGAGAGGGTGAGGTTGAGTTGCAGCTGGGAGAACGGGCTATGTGGAGCTGAGGAGGGTGGGGTTAATTTGCGCCTGGGACAGCGGGGAATGTGGAGTTAGGGAGGGTGGGGTTGAGTTGCAGCTGGGACAGCAGGCTATGTGGAGCTGGGAGGGTGGGGTTGAGTTGCAGCTGGGAGAGTGGGCAATGTGGACTTTGGGAGGGTGGGGTTGAGATGCAGCTGGGAGAGTGGGCTACGTGGAGTTAGCGAGGGTGAGGTTAAGTTGCAGCTGGGAGAGCGGGCTATGTGGAGCTGAGGAGGGTGGGGTTGAGTTGCAGCTGGGTGAGCGGGCTATGTGGAGCTGAGGAGGGTGGGGTTGAGTTGCAGCTGGGTGAGCGGACAATGTGGAGTTTGGGAGGGTGGGGTTGAGATGCAGCTGGGAGAGCGGGCAATGTGGACTTTGGGAGGGTTGGGTTGAGTGCAGCTGGGAGAGTGGGCAATGTGGAGCTGAGGAGGGTGGGGTTGAGTTGCAGCTGGGAGAGTGGGCAATGTGGAGTTAGAGAGGGTGAGGTTGAGTTGCAGCTGGGAGAACGGGCTATGTGGAGCTGAGGAGGGTGGGGTTGAGTTGCAGCTGGGAGAGCGGGCAATGTGGAGTTAGGGAGGGTGGGGTTGAGTTGCAGGTAGGACAGCAGGAAATGTGGAGTTAGGGAGGGTGGGTTGGATTGCAGCTAGGAGAACGGGCAATGTGGATTTAGGGAGGGTGGGGTTGAAAGAAGAGGTGGTTGGTGTTGCCTTAGAGCGTGGACATCATAAAGGTTTATAGATGTGGGGGTTTATAGACAAACAGAATGGGGATATAGGGGTTCATTTTGTGGTAGAGTAAGGGTGTAGTGAAGGTCACATAAGCAATAAAATTGTCTTATATTTTTTTTTTAACTGTTAGGTACTAAATGAAGAAAATGGCCGTTGATCGTTTTTGCGCACATTTGCGACGTCTTCAGTCAGCACTTGATCACGGTGTACACTCCCTCGCTCGGATTAACTTGCTAATACATATAACTATAAACAGTATTTACGCACACGACAGTAAGTTAATGTTAATTTCCGCCCAGAATAACCCCACCCCCTTCCACACCTATATTTTTTATTTCCGGACATATCCAAGTCAACCCGTATCGGTCATTTCTTTTCACTACGTCACTGTTTGGTGTTCATTTCGTTAAAAACACATTGTCAGATGTGAGGCGTCATCCTTTTCAGCGTCGCCTTTCTCCTCTAGTGATATGCCTAACTTGACAATGAAATTACTTTCTCTTACTATTATACGATGATGTTACGAACTTACTGAAGATTCGGGGTAGAACAGGTCTTCAGCAACCCATGCTTGCCGTAACAGGTGACTATGCTTGTCGTAAAAGGCAACTAACAGGATCGGGTGGTCAGGCTCGCTGACTTGGTTGGTGCATGTCATCGATCCAAATTGCGTGGATCGATGTTCATAATGTAAATCACTGGATTGTCTGGTCCAGACTCGATTATTTACAGACCGCCATCATATAGATGGAATATTGCTGAGTGCGGCGTTAAACAACAAACAAACAAACTACCTTAAAGTTGGCGTCCTACCTACTGATCCTAACGCAGGTAAAATACCACCAGCGAGAATTTAGAAAGATCACTCGACGCCACATCTTATGGAGGTGTCCTCGGAGCTTCTACATTCAAAACGGTATCGTATCGGTGTATAAGAGCGGGGTGAGATTGAATGAAGCGTCTCTAAAATATACGGTCAAAATCTATTACAGCATATTGCTCACAAATCATTCATTAAATACACAGACAATTATACTTTACCGTGTTTACCGAAATGCATGTAAATATTATTATATTAAACAATTCGCTTAAAGAGCCTTATCCCCAGACCCTCAGAAGCGAGTTTCAAGGGGCATAACTCATGTTACTCTAAACGAGAATCGTAAAACACTATTGGTCGGCTGATAAACTGGTCCCACTGTTGCTTTGCTCAGCCAGCTATGAACATACAATTTTTCACAGACATGAGCCCAGTCATCACGGCTGCCGGTTGCCAGTACGTGCGTTCAATTATCAAAATCTGAGTCAACCTGAGTCAACCGAGGACGTTACCACATTCCTGGCAACCAGGGATGACTAGATAAAACCTGGGTTGACCAGTTTTAATGAAGGACAACTTAGGGCAGCACACGAAATAAAACGCATACAATTGAACCTTAGATACAATGATGTAGGCCAGGGGAAGGAGAAATCCAATGGTAACCTTTTCTATTTAAAGGGACGGTCGGGTAGCCTAGTGGTTAAAGCGTTCGCTCGTCACGCCGAAGACTTGGGTTCGATTCCCGACATGGGTACAGTGTGTGATGCCCATTTCTGGTGTCCCCCGCCGTGATATTGCTGGGATATTGCTAAAAGCGGCGTAAAACCATACTCACTCACTAATGCATGTAAACCGACAAGAAAAATCAAAATACAAACACGATGCAAAATCCTTATCAAAGTTGCATTATTGATTCTAAAGTATTTGTAGCACAAACGAAAGTTTCATTTCCAAGACGGATTTCAGAATACACGTATACCATCAAGACCTAGTTAATTTTATTTATCAAACTGTTTTTGTTCGTGATTGATTCATCGTATCCCAATTGCGTAGATCGATGCTCATGATGTCAATGAATGGATTGTCTGGTCCAGACTCGATTATTTACAGGCCACCGTCATATAACTGGTATATTGCTGAGTGCGGCGTTAAACAACAAACAAACACATTATTGAGCTTTACAGATGACGTCACGTGGATGCCACAGTTCAGTGAGTGAGTGAGTGAGTGAGTTGGGTTAAATGCCGCTTTTAACAGTATTCCAGTTATATCAAGGCGTGTCAGGTTAATGTGGGTGGAAAGCCCGAAGTGATGCAGGCCTCAGATGTTTACCACTTCGGTTAAACCCACGAGCACGGGTATGGTTCTGACAAACCTAAAAACAATAATCGGGACGAACCGGGATTCGAACCCACAACCATAGGTTTCTGGCGTGCCCAAGGGACGCAACTCTGCACAGCGAATTGCGGCGCCTTAGACGACAGGGCCACCCATGTCCCCGACTACAGTTCGGCACACTAGGGGTTCACGAGGTATGGACAACTTAGGTCAACCGGTTAATCGGTTAAGATTCCGGGCTATGCTTGTCGTAAAAGGCGGCTAACGGGATCGGGTGGTCAGACTCGCTGACTTGGTTGATGCATGTCATCGATCCCAATTGCGTGGGGCGATGCTCATGATGACAATCACTGGATTGTCTGGTCCAGACTCGATTATTTTACAGACCGCCGTCATATAGCTGGAATATTGCTGAGTGCGGCGTTAAACAACAAACAAACAAACAAAAAAAGTTTATCGGTTAACATTAGCTAATATTGGTCAACCAAGGTTAACCTGAGTTATACCTTGCTCAACACGGGTTCACCTGGTTCGTCATGGGTTTTGAAAAAAGAACGCAAGCACTGGATTTGAACCGTGAGTTTAACTGGTACCACTGTTGGTATCCGGCACCGAATAACTGCCACAGTGCACCTTGTGGGGAATCGAACCAGCGTTGAGCGACCACTTTAACCACTGTGCTACCCACTGTGAGTGAGTGAGTTGGGTTTAACGCTGCTTTAAGCAGTAATCCAGTAAGGCGGGGGACACCAAAACACGGAACCACATTGGGAATCGAACCCGGATCTTTAATCAAACGAGCGCATTAACCACTGGGCCCATCTTCCTGGCAAAGAGTGAGTGAGTTGGATTTAACATACGCCGCTTTGAACAGTATTCCAGTTATATCACGGGTGTTAGCTTAATGTGGGAGAAAAGCCGATTTCTTTCTGAAAAGGAATCTATTTGAAATTGAAAACGAGCAGATTATTCGAGTGTTTGACGTCACCTTGTGATGGACTTTGTGACGTATAATATGTCCCCGTCATACACCTCTAACTTCATATGTACCTGAGAACACTAGGCGAGGTCACCGTGAGGTGATTGCCCGTTCCTCCTCCCGACAAGGAACATCCACAACCACAATATATGTAATGATACGTCTTTATATACTTGTATACTAATCACAACCATGATATATAATATACCCCGCACTGTATCTGCATCAAAGTAGCTTGACTATGACATGCCATAACAGTAACGCATTCACCCTGAATAAACAATACGGAGGCTCACGATTTGTTCCGAATGAACTCGTGATGTTCCGCTTTGTGACAGGCGAGCAGTCTCTATGCATTGTCACGGCTACGACCTCTCCACAGTCGAGCGGTGCATGTCTCCGTGTCCCGATACACATAGACTTGATAGAGGGCTCTTCAGTGATTATATCCGTGCTCGAGATTCTACCTCTTGTCTGAACCTTCATTTCCATTCTCAAAGAACAATATATGATAATTAATTCACTTACATGGAAATTGCATCTACAATCGTACATTCAAAACAGATACAGGAATCTGGACAAAATATCAATGATATGATATTTTATCATATAATGGGTAGGTTTCTCGGCAGGATAAAGCCAACGGATAAAAACGATATCCGTTGGGGTCATATGCGGATAGAGATGCAAATACCAGAGGTCAAGTAGGACTACTTTCACTGTTTATAAACAAACATGGCGTCGCCCTCGTCATTCGGCGATCGAGTCAGAATTAACCATCGTGAATCTGGATAAACTACAGGGATAATTGCTATCATTATCAAAAGAACAGTCTAATATACTGAAAATCAGTGTCTAACTGTGACGTAGCTGAGGCATTTTATAAGTTTTGGCAACTTTCGAGATATAAATTTCGAAACAATTTTGCGAGGGCACGAGGCCTAGCCAGCGGGATCAGTAGCCATATCTGTGCTTGTAGACCTCTGTGGCTTGAAACCTTCTCCACAAATCAAAATGGTTGGATTCGGCCGAAATATGTTTGAACTGTTACCTTGTTTCGATTTGTCGCTGTGTGTACATCTGACTACACTTCTTAACGTTATGAAAGGACAGACCGACTGTCAACAACGTCTGACCGTGGCCGTGACTCATAGACAGACCGATGGATTGCCACGAAAGGCAATTAAAAACAACTGTTGTCTTGCGTATAAGTTGCTTCGCCACTGTATATGAAACAGATTTCAGTTGGAACTATATTGGCTACTGTCACAGTCCTACTGACACATCACTTACCCTGTGACGTAATAAATATTAATGCGCGCATTCCAGGACAACTCGCAATGTTTCGGTAATGTTTGTGAGAGAGGGAAAGCGATTTTAATGCACAGAATTAAAGAATGACATTATATGATAAAGAGGTTATCACGCTTGTGTCTTTGGGGATGGTAAATATCCTGTATTAGGAATAAACACTATGTATTTAGCTCGCCAAGGCTCGCTAAATACAATGTTTATTCCTAATGCAGGATATTTACCATCCCCAAACACACTCGCGTGATAACCTCTATTTATTCGGCGCACACCGAGATGGACACAATGCGGGGCTACGTGATGTTAATACATACACACTTGTTTATTTCTATCAGATCCGACAATGCGAGTGTCAGGACGGGAAATAAACCTGTAATAGCAAACATGGAAATTAATTTTATGGCTTGTGGCGTGTGGGTGTCATGGACGGGGCACAGCTGCTGTGATGATGATGTGGCAGTGATCATCCTATAGGTCAGTGAGGTGAGGTGAAATGGGGTTTAACGTTGCGTACATGATTATTGCACTTACATAGCGACGTGCATGTACGGGTTTGTCTGTGTGTGTGTGTGTGGCTGCTTGTACAAGTCCGGACTGATGCCGATTTATAGTGCTAGCCCACTGAGATACCATGCCGCAGTTTAACATGAATACCCCACTCAGACACAGTATACTGACTCCGAGCCGACCAGTCCTTGTTTTAGCCCCTTAATGCCGAGCGCCAGACAGGGTAAGAACAAGTACCATCTTTGAACGTATTTTGGTATTACGCGGCCGGGGATCGAACCCCGGACCTTCCGCTCTCCGGACGGACGCTCTATAGGTTAGTCTACAGTCGAACTTCGTTGATCACGACACCCCAACGTCATGGGTTTGTATACACGAGGGTCGCCTCCGTGGTCTTGTGGATAGACCGCCTGTCCGGAGAGCTGAAGATAGAGGTTCGATCCCTCGCTTCGTCAAACCAAAAGATGTTAAAAGATGGTACTTAATGTTACCCTGCCTGGCGCTCCGAAGTAAGGGGCTAAGGCAAGGACTGGTATCTCGGTGGGCAAGCTTAATAAAACACACACACGTACGTTAAGCTCCGTACTCCATGCATCAATTTCGTGCGAATCCTATACCGCTGCCCGACAAGAATCAAAATGTAGTTTCGATGGCGGCAAGCCTGCTGAATATCACACGAGAAATATTAATTGCAATATATTGCCGTTTGTGTGATGTAAACCTCAGCGGTTATTGGTCAGAGCACTCGCTAAATTGCCTCTCTCCAGATCCAGGGCCCCCTTGTACAAAGCGATCTTAGAGCTAAGATGATCGTAACTCCCATACTTAAACATAGGCTTACGATAGTCTTAGCGCTAAGATCGCTTTGTGCAAGTGGGCCCAGGCCGTGGCCTTAAACAACAGACTCCGCTGCACTGCGGCCGTATATTTACGGAACAAAAAGACGTTGGGATCATGAATACTTTTGGGGTTATTAAATTGTGCCAGTCTTCACTACAAAAAAATATCCCCAAATATATTCGTGTGTGTGTGTGTGTGTGTGTGTGTGTGTGTGTGTCTGTGTCTGTGTGTGTGTGTGTTTGGGATCGGCATTCTTTTGTTGATAAGCAGATCAGTTAGTCTTTAAATCAAAAACCGTTGCTTAATAAAAAAATAATAATACTAGTATAAAGAAATAACAAGCCGTGTTCCTGTGACACTTTAACCTAGTCTGCAAGAAAAGGGCACATTATTTGTGTTATATTATTAACATTCCCCGTGACAGTGGAATATATCCATGAACACACTGCCCCAGGTATACACGCATCACATACTGCAGTTTGCATATGCCTATATTAACTTTCAGGTATCCGTGCGGGAACCATGAGTAGCTATTAAAAAATATTTATTCATGTTTCGTTCAACACAGGGTGAATCCATAATGGTTTCCTTAATTAATAGCCTGGAGTCAGTGGAGTGAATCATGCCAGTTCACAGTACAATGATTAGAGAGAAACAACATGAGTGAGTGAGTATGGTTTTACGCCGCTTTTAGCAATATTCCAGCAATATCACGGCGGGGGACACCAGAAATGGGCTTCACACATTGTACCCATGTCGGGAATCGAACCCGGGTCTTCGGCGTGACGAGCGAACGCTTTAACCACTAGGCTACCCGACCGCCCCAGAGAAACAACATGAGACGCCATGCTAGTCCGATTTCCTGAACTGTTGTTTAATACATGTATGGTACAATGCGTTTGACGATGAAAAAATTCTGTTATACATGTGTTCATATAATACTGTTGTTTCCCCCCGCATACAATGTGTATATGTAGTGTACACGTAAACATTTACAAGTTTAATGAACGGCGGGTGACATCAGCAATGGAACTGTCCAATCCGACACCTGTCTAATCCGATTTCCCCCGGACCCCAGCAGTGTCGGAATATACAGTGTAGGGCTGAGTCCAAATTTACTACCCGGGTACCCACCCCTCTTTTACCCGACCTTACCCGGATACCAGCTGTAGGTCTCAAGAGATACGTACAAAATGTCCTATTGGGAACAGTTTGACCGTATCCCTGGCAAATTATTTAAACATATTTATTTTCACAAAAGTGTGAAAATGGATTGGTAAACAACAACGCTTATGTTAATACCGCTCCATTACACAGGAACCATTACAATGAATACATCAATGTAGGTTAGATGAAACGAATGAATTGTACATGCCAAGCTAGATGTGTAAAAAAAAAATATATTTGAAGTTTATATTAAACAATTCATTTACTTCATTGAAAATCTGCCAGTTTTGAATAGAATCTAATGTTTGGATTTGTTCTTCCTTACTCAAATTCGAATTTCCACATGGCACTGTTTGTACAGAATAACCATGTTGGTAGAAATACATTTTATTTCGAAGAACATAGTAATTTGTACACACAAACAAGAAGTGTAAAGCATCTTCGGTATGAGTGAGTGAGTGAGTTGGGTTTTAACGCCGCTTTTAACAGTATTCCAGTTATATCGCGGCGTGTCAGCTTTATGTGGGAGGAAAGCCCGAAGTGATGCAGGTCTCAGACGTTTACCACTTCGATGAAACCCACGAGCACGGGTATGGTGCTGACAAACCTAGAAACATAATCGAGGCGAACCGGGATTCGATCTTCGGTATGATATCCACAGGAATAGGTTTTAGTATCCCTGGCAAAATGTATTTAGATACACGTATATATAACGATCTGGCCATGCCTACACTGAAGTTGACTGAAGTTTTATCTTTATTCAGACATATACTGAGTCAAGTCAGAAAGAATGCGTGCATTGTCAGAAAGAAATGCAAACATGGGTCACTTCTAGTGTAACCATGCATAGAGTCCTAGTTAATTTTTGACATTAAACAATATATCACTTGGCTAACCACGGGTCCGGGTAGTCCTGTGGGTACCCGGGTCCTACTCAGTACCCACCTGACCCGAGCTACCCGTCCCGTCCAAGTCCAAGTACTATCTGCTTTGAAAAGACGAACAGCGGATGTATCGAAATCCTAGGAGGCTTGAATCAAGGCTATAACCACGCGGCACGATCAATACACGGTTTCTCAGAGGCACAAAATCCACATAACACCGGTCGACTGCAGCCGGAGTACAGTGGATCACTTGCGAGCTGCTTGTGGCTGGAATACGATAGTCCAGCAACCCTCACAATCTGGGTGAGTGTTGGTATATCTATGCGCCATTGTAACAATCAAACACTATATTTTCACTGGTGTTGATACTAATGATAGCAAGTAAAACAGTATGATTCGTGCCCCTAATATTTCTTGTGGGAAGCGTACATGCACAATACGACTGTTATTGATAAGCCTTATCTTACGGATGACTGAATACTGCGCGCGGGATGAGTAGATTCTGATACCAATCCAATTCAGCATCGTGTTATAAACATGTAATCAACTTCTTGTAGTCTTGGTGACGTCTTTGAATCTGCTCTCGTTTGAAAACAAGGGTCTGACACACGCGCGTTCCAGGAGTATTATTAGAACGGTGCATGCGTTGTTACCCGCCCGTGGAATCTGGTATTTTGAAACTGTGGTATAGTTTAATATCACACGTTTTACAAATTAGTTCGCATGTTAATCCGAAAATCTCGAAAGAAGGAGTTTGTATCATAAGGTTATATAATATTTTCCAAACCCAAACGCACAGAAAAAATACATAGAGTCTGAATACAAATTAATATTCGTATCAGCTTGTTATGAATATGGATGTGTATATGCGCTGCTGCAAAATGTTCTGTTGCCTTGGAAACGATACACTTGAAAATTGCATCTGACAATGTTTCGAGAGATATGTCCAAAGAGAATAATAAAATGTAGAAAATACGTTTTGTTAAAATAAAGCTTAAATGTTAGCAATTAATACACACATTTATAAGCAGACAGTTTTTCTATAGAAATATAACTCTGATCTTGTGTCACAACTTTATCCAATAAGAATCATCCTGTCATATTGTAAGTTATTATATTGTCGCACGGATGTCACACGGCTCCTCTTTAAGTGGCATTAACTCCGAAACGACACTGAGTATGACAATGTGTGGTTATGGGAGAGCAGATGTTACCAATTGAAAAGTACATTTGATATTATGTTTATGACCATGATTTCATGAATATGATATACTCAAGCAAAAACTGCCGCGCACATCCGCAGCGTATCAACACAATCCTGTATGTCGAGACACACTCCCAGCTTCCCATCGTACGGTGAGTGTAACCAGAGGTGGTTAAAGCGTTCGCTCGTCACGCCGAAGGCCCGGGTTCGATTCCCCACATGGGTACAATGTGTGAAGCCCATTTCTGGTGTCCCCTCGGCGGATAATCGATTGCTTCTTCTCTGGTGTTGATGTTTTATGTTTAAGATAGGTTAATTATCTTGCAGCAAAAAGGCAGTTATTGCTTTGCCATTTCAAAAACGTATTTGCGTTTTTTGAAAAAAATGTATATTTCCTCGAGGGTTCGAGCTTTTTATGGATGAGTCCACGAGACTCCATCTTGGAACTGAATTCGCAAGTATATATCTTATGTTCACCTGACTGTCACGTGACGCAACACAATCTGGCGGAAGTCGTACCTATTATAGTCTAATGTGAACCACAAAAGGGCTTTTCTCAAACACGCCCTTCGTACGAACTTCATGTAGCGGGATCTGGCGTTACATGATTACACGGACAACACGTAATGTCATAACTTCGTTGCTTTCCGAAGATATTATGTACAGGTAACGGATTAAGCCGAATTGACCCGAATGTTTAGTGTTTCGACTGATACAGTGTGCCGTTTGACGTTTACGTGCATACGGTTTAGTGGTCAGTGTTTTATATACATGAACAGGGCTCCATAATCACTTTCCTTCAGACCCTAACGAGGATGTAATCATGGACTTGTCTAGGTCGTAATTAAGCAAGTCTAAGTAATCTGTAGCGGTTTAATAGGATAAAGAAAATCAAGGTCATCAACGGCATAAGTGTTCCACTCAATCGTGTATATGTTGACAAGAACATATTTAGTTACTTGAAGGACGTTTAGTGTAGTGTGTGTTGCATGTAGGATAATGAAATCAACATTATGTGTATTTATCTTTAACATGGTTCGCTCGTCACGCCGAAGACCCGGGTTCGATTCCCGACATGGGTACAATGTGTGAAGCCCATTTCTTGTGTCCCCCGTGATGTTGCTGGAATATTGCTAAAAGCGGCGTAAAACCATACTCACTCACTCACTCACTCACTCACTCACTCACTTGAACATGGCTCAGGTTGCCATGAGGTGTACCGGACGCCCTGCTGGGTCCCCAGTCATCAAGCCGTCATGACTGTATAGCACCCTCGTGAGACTAAGGTCTCGTGACTTAAAACACCCTCGTGAGACTAAGGTCTCGTGACTTAAAACACCCTCGTGAGACTAAGGTCTCGTGACTTAAAACACCCTCGTGAGACTAAGGTCTCGTGACTTAAAACACCCTCGTGAGACTAAGGTCTCGTGACTTAAAACACCCTCGTGAGACTAAGGTCTCGTGACTTAAAACACCCTCGTGAGACTAAGGTCTCGTGACTAAAAACACCCTCGTGAGACTAAGGTCTCGTGACTAAAAACACCCTCGTGAGACTAAGGTCTCGTGACTTAAAACACCCTCGTGAGACTAAGGTCTCGTGACTAAAAACACCCTCGTGAGACTAAGGTCTCGTGACATAAAACACCCTCGTGAGACTAAGGTCTCGTGACTTAAAACACCCTCGTGAGACTAAGGTCTCGTGACTTAAAACACCCTCGTGAGACTAAGGTCTCGTGACATAAAACACCCTCGTGAGACTAAGGTCTCGTGACTTAAAACACCCTCGTGAGACTAAGGTCTCGTGACTTTATGGCGCTCTCGTGAGACTAAGGTTTGGTGACTTTATGGCGCACTCGTAAGACTGAGGTCTCGTGTTGTTGTGGCGCTCTCGTGAGACTAAGGTCTCGTGACTTTATGGCGCTCTCGTGAGACTAAGGTCTCATGACTTAAAACACACTCGTGAAACTAAGGTCTCAGGCTAGTTCGCCTTCCTGCGTCACTCCCTACATTAAGAACAGACACAGGTTTTGTTCGCAGATGTGGCCAAGTTTATTACTGATAAATATAACCCTGAAACAATTGTAAAACATTCATTAGACAAAACATAAATATACGCTTACTGTAATATCACATCATACATTTCATTAAATGTGACCATATACAAACTATTATAACTGCTGATAGATACACTTACATTAACTTTGCATCAACACTTATGTATATCATATCCCTACAGATCCTAGGCATACGAACAAGCTGTAAAATATCAGCAAGAGACTAACTTTTAGAAGGGAATCCCAAAGTCCTAGGATTAAAAAAACCGTTACTGGAGAGACTGGATACCAAAGATTCGAATGTACATGGCAAATGCCATTCGTTTGTTTGACTTACCAGAGCTCATCGACGACTTTTTTGCACACTTCCGTGTTACAAGATGGCTATTCGAGACGGGGCACGGGTGGCCCAGTCGTCTAAGGCGCCGCGATTCGCTGTGCACAGTTGCGTCCCTTGGGCACGCCAGAAACCTATGATTGTGGGTTCGAATCCCGGTTCGTATGTTTCTAGGTTTGTCAGCACCATACCCGTGCTCGTGGGTTTCACCGAAGTGGTAAACGTCTGAAACCTGCATCACTTCGGGCTTTCCTCCCACATTAAGCTGACACGCCGTGATATAACTGGAATACTGTTAAAGGCGGCGTTAAACCCAGCTCACTCACTCACACATGCTAAATCCTCAACATTGTTTTTATTTTCACCTGTCCTTCTGTATATAAACTTTTAACCACGTTGTTTATAAATAAATGTCACGTTTATGTTGGTGAGGCACAAATCAGGTTGTCAATTTCTAAAACCCTTTCATTATTTTTTCAACTTAGGGAATAGATAGAGTGACGTGTTATTGTTCTAAACAAGCACAGTGATCACATCTTACATCTTACATCTCTGTCTCTCTCTGTTTCTCTCCCTCTCTCTATGTCTGCCTGTCTGTCTCTCCCTTTCCCCCTCTCTCTGTCCGCCTGTCTGTCTCTCTGTGTCTGACTCTCCCTTTCCCTCTCTCTGTCTGCCTGTCTGTCTCTCTGCGTCTGCCTCTCCCTTTCCCTCTCTCTGTCCGCCTGTCTGTCTCTCTGTGTCTGTCTCTCCCTTTCCCTCTCTCTCTGTCTGCCTCTCTGTCTCTCCCTTTCCCCCCTCTCTGTCTGCCTGTCTGTCTCTCTGTCTGCCTGTCTGTCTCTCTGTGTCTGACTCTCCCTTTCCCTCTCTCTGTGTCTGCCTGTCTGTCTCTCTGTCTGCCTGTCTGTCTCTCTGTGTCTGACTCTCCCTTTCCCTCTCTCTCGGTCTGCCTGTCTGTCTCTCTGTCTGCCTGTCTGTCTCTCTGTGTCTGACTCTCCCTTTCCCTCTCTCTCTGTCTGCCTGTCTGTCTCTCTGTGTCTGACTCTCCCTTTCCCTCTCTCTGTCTGTCTGCCTGTCTGTGTCTGACTCTCCCTTTCCTTCTCTGTCCGTCTGCCTGTCTGTCTCTCTGTGTCTGACTCTCCCTTTCCCTCTCTCTCAGTCTGCCTGTCTGTCTCTCTGTGTCTGACTCTCCCTTTCCCTCTCTCTCTGTCTGTCCCTCTGTGTCTGACTCTCCCTTTCCCTCTCTCTCTGTCTGCCTGTCTGTCTCTCTGTGTCTGACTCTCCCTTTCCCTCTCTCTCTGTCTGCCTGTCTTTCTCTCTGCGTCTCCCTTTCCCTCTCTCTCTGTCTGCCTGTCTGTCTCTCTGTGTCTGTCTCTCCTTTTCCCTCTCTCTCTGTCTGCCTGTCTGTCTCTCTGTGTCTCCCTTTCCCTCTCTCTCTCTGTCTGCCTGTCTGTCTCTCTGTGTCTGACTCTCCCTTTCCCTCTCTCTCTGTCTGCCTGTCTGTCTCTCTGTGTCTGACTCTCCCTTTCCCTCTCTCTGTGTCTGCCTGTCTGTCTCTCTGTGTCTGACTCTCCCTTTCCCCCTCTCTGTGTCTGCCTGTCTGTCTCTCTGTGTCTCCCTTTCCCTCTCTCTGTGTCTGCCTGTCTGTCTCTCTGTGTCTGACTCTCCCTTTCCCTCTCTCTGTCTGCCTGTCTGTCTCTCTGTCTGACTC